CGCCGCCACCACACAGGGATTTTAAGGAGAGGGGTGTGGTGCGCTAGCTGTCGCCCACCCTAGGGAGTCTGCCTCTTCCTATCTCATGTACCCGGTGTAAGAATTTAAACAAAAGAACTCTTTAAGAAAGAAAGAAAGAAAACAGACGCGCCAAGCGTGGGATGGAACGAGGACAGGGTGCCCACGGGGGTCTCTCTGACCTAGATCGCGCCTCAGATCTCGGCTGGATCCCGCTCAATCTCGCTCAATCTCGGCTCGCTCTCGCCGTCGACCCACATCTCCCCACATCTCCCCACATCTCCCCACATCTCGGCTCGCTCTCGCCGTCGACCCACATCTCCCCACATCTCCCCACATCTCCCCACATCTCGGCTCGCTCTCGCCGTCGACCCACATCTCCCCACATCTCCCCACATCTCGGCTCGCTCTCGCCGTCGACCCACTCCATCGTCAGCACTCGCTCGCCCGAGAGGGAGGGGTCGGTGGCCGGGACCTGACCCCACGCCAGCTGAGAGTGAGCAAGCCCCCTCCATGGCCCCGTCGGGCAAGGCGAGGCGATCCCGCGCGTGCACTCGCGGCTCCGCGGCGAACAGCGCGGCGCAGGCGGCGGCGTTGGCCGCTTCGTTCCGAAAGTCGAGCTCGTCGCGCGTCGACGCCTGCGGCAGCGACCGCCACAGGGCGTCGGCGTCCGCAGAGTCGAGAAGCCGCGATGCCAAGGCAAGCTGCTCAACTTGAGGCCAGCAGTAGCAGTAGTGTTGCTAGCTAGCCGTGGATATGCACGCGCCGCAACGCCCGTCCAGGACGGACGGAGGCGTCAGGACAACGCAACCCGCCGCCCGTAGCCAAATTGGCACTCGGGCGTAGACACTACTCCTTGCTGTGTGTCAGGCCGGCACGCGGGTGTGTGGCGGTGGCTGGGCAGGCGGAAGCTTCCTAGAAGGTTCCTAGAAGGTTCCTGGCACGCGGGTGTGTGGCGGTGGCTGGGCAGGCGGAAGCTTCCTAGAAGGTTCCTAGAAGGTTCCTGGCACGCGGGTGTGTGGCGGTGGCTGGGCAGGCGGAGGAGGAGGCGTCTCTGCAGCCGCCTCGAACTCGCCGATGATCCAGCCGTAGCCTGCGCCGGGGAAGGCAGCCTCCGCCAGAGCCGAGAGCAGGCGCATCGACCCGAGGTCGGAGGCCACCTGCCCTGCCACCCGCGGGTACTGCACCTGCGAGCTAAGGGTAGCGGTGGCGCCGAGCAGACCGTCCCGGTGGCTCTGGCTCACCGTGTAAGCGAGCTGTGCCGGTGAACAGGTGCGAAGAGGGAGGTGTGAGGAGCGAGGGGCGAACTGTCAGGGGCGCAGAGCGAGGCGGCGAGCATCGAGGTGTGAAGAGCATCGAGGTGTGAAGAGCATCGAGGTGTGAAGAGCATCGAGGTGTGAAGAGCATCGAGGTGTGAAGAGCGCGCCTTGACGGCGACTGACCGGCCGTCCGAGAGCACAGCGCGGTGCACTTGCGCCAGCGAGGCGGCGGCGACAGGTGCGTCGTCGAACTCCGCAAAGAGGGACGCGAGCGGCGCTCCCAGCTGCGTCTCCACCGTCTCGCGCACCTCCACGAGCGCCACGGGCGCCGCGCGGTCCTGGCAGGCCGAGAGCGTGCTGGTGTACTGCGGTGGCAGCGCCGACGTCATGGACGCCAGATACTGGCCGAGCTTGTTGTACAGGCCACCGTGCGCACGGCAGAGCGCGAGGAGCCGCTGCGCACCTCGCTCGTGCGCCTCACGCATGGCGGCGGCGTGCTCATCCGAGCCGTGCGGAAGGCGGCCGGCCACCTTGTAGTCTATGCCGATCGCGACGCCGCAGCAGAGGCTGCGAGCAGTGCGCGCCGGCCCGGACTGGTAGTCTTGCGAGAGCCAGGCGACACCACCAGCGGCGGCGGTGGAGGCGAATGCAAGCCGCCTCATGAACGACCCGCCTCCGAACGAGGGGCCTTCGGCCTTCAGCCTATCTCTTTGTGCGAGAAAGAAAGAATTTTAGCATGCAAGCCCCTCTCACAGCAGAAAGAAAGAAAGAAGTCGCGAGCGCCTGGTGTCTACTAGCCCCCGAGTAGAGGGGGCGTTCCGCTGCTAGGGGAAACCCGGAGCGCAGAGCTAACCCTCGGAGACCCGTGTTTACTTTAAGGCCCTTTCCCTGCGAACGCGCACCCCCGGGGCTAGGGCTCTCTTGCCCGCAACCCGACAGCGACACCGATCATCCGGCCCGCTGGGTGCGCTTCTCAGCTCCTCGGCCCTGGATGTGAGGTTAATAACTGCACTCCAAGTGCTCCAAGTGCTCAATGAGCAACCGCGCCGTCCTCCGTCCAGTGTCGTGGCCTCGAGGCGTCCAGCGCCGATTCAGTGTCGTCCAGAGTCGTGGCACACACGCCGTGGCAGGCCGTGTAGCCACTGAGATGGCCTTATGACGACCCCGTTTCGACATCGTCCCCAAGGCCTCTCTCTACTCATGAGAGAGACTCTCTCTCTCTCTCTCTCATGAGCTCCATGCGGGAATGATTGGCTCAACCAACTGATCACAAATTCCCTCTGCAACATCGAAGTCGTCGAATGATGCTGTCACGAGGAAGAATTTTGACGCCGCTCCCCTGGCCGAACAGAACCCTCTCCTCCCCGCAGAGAACCCTCTCCTCCCCGCTGAGAGCGCCGCGAGAAGCCTGAGCATCCCCTTCCAGTCCAACTGGAACTGCGCGGGCTTCTCACTGCCCCTGCGCCCAAGTCTCGACCTTCTTGGGCAGCAGCTGGTTCGACAGGTCCTCTCCGTGGCCAAGGCAGCCGCGCTCGCCCTCGCCCCAGGAAAGGACGGCTCCTATTCGTAGATGCGCGTCTCCCCCTCCCCCTATGAGATCGCTTAGCGTTTTTAAATCTTAAGCGCCAGATGGCGCGGTGGCAGCTCTGTTCGGCTCCACTCGCTCCGCTCGGCTCCGCTCGGCTCCGCTCGGCTCCGCTCGGCTCCGCTCGGCTCCGCTCGGCTCCGCTCGGCGGCTCCGCTCGGCTCCGCTCGGCTCCGCTCGGCTCCGCTCGGCTCCTCTCGGCTCCGCTCGGCTCCCTCGAAAAGAATTTTAGGAAAGAATTTTACAATCAAACTCCCTCCCTTGGGTTGTCTGTTTTCTTTCTATTTCTTTACTCCCTCGCACGACACAAGGCACGGGACTGGAAAAGAATGTTACCACACACAACGATGACGCAGGGTTCACAGAGTGCTCACAACCACGTAAAGACAAAATGGTCGCTACACAGTTTATACTCCAGCAAGCGGTTATGAGGTCGGGGGGCTCCGCTCCGCTGCGCGTCGCGCCACATCGCGCCGCGCGTCGCGCGGTGGCGACGGCGGTGGGGGGGCGGGTGGCTCTGGTGGCGGCGCGGCTAGAGTCTCGAGCAGGAGTTCTCGCCGACGCGACTCGGGTGGGGAAGGCGGCGGCGGGAGAGGCGGGGAGAGTATGGGGAGCGTCGGAGGAAGCGGTGGAGGCTTGGCCGAGAGAGTATGGATGCTCGGAAGCAGTGGCGGAGTCGGCGCTGTTGGCGGCGGCGGCGAGGGCGGCGGTGGCGAGGGAGGCAGTGCCGAGGGAGGCGGCGGCGAGGGAGGCGGCGGCGAGGGTGGGGGCGGCGAGGGTGGGGGCGGCGAGGGCGACGCCGAGGGAGGTGGCGGCGAGGGCGACGCCGAGGGAGGTGGCGGCGAGGGCGACGCCGAGGGAGGTGGCGGCGAGGGCGACGCAGAGGGAGGTGGCGGCGAGGGCGGCGCCGAGGGAGGCAGTGCCGAGGGAGGCGGCGGCGAGGGAGGCGGCGGCGAGGGTGGGGGCGGCGAGGGTGGGGGCGGCGAGGGCGACGCCGAGGGAGGTGGCGGCGAGGGCGACGCCGAGGGAGGTGGTGGCGAGGGCGGCGTGTCGCCATCCGAGTCGGGGTCCGTGGAGTCCGGGATGCCGTCGCTGTCGCTGTCACCCCTGCCCTCCTCGGCGTCGGGGATGCTGTCACCGTCCGAGTCGGGGTCCGTGGAGTCCGGGATGCCGTCGCTGTCGCTGTCACCCCTGCCCTCCTCGGCATCGGGGATGCTGTCGCCGTCCGAGTCGGGGTCCGTGGAGTCCGGGATGCCGTCGCTGTCGCTGTCACCCCTGCCCTCCTCGGCGTCGGGGATGCTGTCGCCGTCCGAGTCGGGGTCCGTGGAGTCCGGGATGCCGTCGCTGTCGCGGTCACCCCTGCCCTCCTCGGCGTCGGGGATGCTGTCGCCGTCCGAGTCGGGGTCCGTGGAGTCCGGGATGCCGTCGCTGTCGCTGTCACCCCTGCCCTCCTCGGCATCGGGGATGCTGTCGCCGTCCGAGTCGGGGTCCGTGGAGTCCGGGATGCCGTCGCTGTCGCTGTCACCCCTGCCCTCCTCGGCATCGGGGATGCTGTCGCCGTCCGAGTCGGGGTCGAGGTGGTCCGGGATGCCGTCGCTGTCGCTGTCGCCTGTGCCCTCCTCGGCATCGGGGATGCTGTCGCCGTCCGAGTCGGGGTCGAGGTGGTCCGGGATGCCGTCGCTGTCGCTGTCGAGTGCGAGGCCTGTCTCGGTTGGGACGGCCGCCTCGGAGAGCCTGCGCCCCCCGCCTGTCATTTGGCACGCCGTGCCGATGAAGATTCGGCAGGTGGACCCGAGCACCTGACACATCGGATGCACAAACCTGGTTTAGTGGCGGGCTGCGCACGCGGGGTCTTCTTTTGCACGCACCTCATAGCCGCATGACCCTGGCTTCGCCTTCGCTTGGGCGCAGCACCCATCGGTGGTAAGAGGGTCGTCGTCGTAACTAACTTCTCCGGTGATTCTGCTTCCGTCGCAACTCACGGTCATAGACTCGCACCCTGGGCATGGTGTTGCCGGCGATGGTGGAGGCGGAGAAAAGTCGCAAGATAGCCAAACCCCCGACTCGGATAGCCGTCGCTCGGATAGCCGTCGCTCGGGTAGCTCGCGGTCCGTGGCGGAGGCCTCAGCCGCTGCCAGACGCTCGTCTGGCGTAAACTTCCGCTCGGCGGCGTCGAACCGGGAGAAGGCGAAGGTAGTCTCGTACGGCGACGCCACAGCCCTTGACGTTCGCGGGCGAACTGGTGAACTGGTTCATGAACTGGTTCGGTGAACTCGCTCGCGGTTCGTTCGTTCGGTTTCGGAGTTCGCTGTGGACGGCATCCCCTTGGTTCGCTGCATCGGTTCGGTCGTTCGCCCTTGGGCGCCGAACCCTCGTGCCTCGAACTAGTTCGTGAACTCGAGCCTTTCCTTTTTCTCCTCCCCCCCGACCCTTTTCACACCCGCAGGCCGAGGAATACCAGGGATGTTTGTCTGAATGCGAACGAACCGCGAACGAACGAAATGTTTTATTTTGTTGGCTCTGCAGGCCTGCCTGTAGTCCCTGGTTGCCTACTAGAGGCCTAGTACGCCTGGACGCCTCGGGGAGCCCCCGCCCGCCCAGTCTACTCGCCATTCAGCACGCACGGCGCCCAGGCACCACAGGGCGGCCCTGCTCACAGCGCAGCCGGCACCATTGGGACCCTAGTCCTCGGAGCGGCCCGGCTGCGGGAACCGGCGCTCTGGGGTGGGCGGGTCCCGGGTCGGCGATGCCGACCTTGAGCAGGTAGCGGCCGGAGCCGCCGTGGGCCGAGCACGGCTCCGGCACGATCGCGAACGAACTTTAGCGGAGGGTTTCCTTTTTCCTAAGTTCGAACGGAGCTCGTTCGTTCGTTCGTTTCGCAGTTCGCGCCTTCCACAGCCGGCGCGGTCCGTTCGTCAGTTTCGAGGTTCGGGCTGGGCCCCGCCGGCTGCGTTCGTTCGAGTTCGACTAGGTCCAGCCCTGGGTGGCATGGGTTGTGACATTTGGCGAGCCGCCCCCCTTGTGCGATTATTGTGGCCCAGGCATGGTACTGATAGTAAACGGGTCAGGACCGGCCAAACACAGGCTACAGCCCCACACACACGCCCGCCATAGGCATAGCTCCTGGAGAGCATGCGCGAGTGACGCGCTGCAAGCCGCGAGAGTGGCATCAGAGGCAGGGAAGACGTGCTCTCCTTACGACCACGTGCCGCAGGTGCCCTTGTACGACGTGCACGCTGCCTCGCAATATGGCTGCGCACGCCGTGGGCCCGTGGCACAGGATCCGCCCGTCTCCGCATCCGGTAAGTTAAACGACAAATACTTCACGGCAGCCGGGTAAACTGGACGAGAAATTCGGGTAATATGTCATGAGAAAAGTTAGCATGAATTGTGGGAGACTGGGTAAACCGGTTTGATAGAAATTGCGCTAAGCAGGAAATATCCGTCGCGTGCGTCGAACCTCGATGCTCGAACCGTTGGGGCCGGGTAATCTGCGAGGCCGGAGGCGAATCTCAAAAACCGGGCAATCTGCGAGGCCGGCTAATCTGAAATTTATCCATTTCACATTACCCGTGTCAACAAGCCCCGCTGCACCCGAGGCACGACAGGCACTCGCCAACATTTCGGCTGTCGAACGCGGGCGGCGGGCGGCTCCGCATGCCAAAGTCTCCATCGCCCCAGCTCCAGAGAACCACGTATCATGAAGCCCGCCCTCCGGGGCCTATGCCTTGATCTTGCACGTGTACCGTGGGTCCGCATCGACGTGTGTCGGCACGACGCCGTGGAGCTCGCAGGGGCTCGCGCCGCACAGGTTCTTGTTGTTGAACTCATAGGCGCGGCAGTCGGCCCTCTGCGCGCACAGCCGCTGGCACGCATCCGCCGAGCGGTTGCCGTACGCGCAGCCCTGCCACACCAGGCACGGGTAGAAGACCGCCTTGGGCGCGTAGTACGTGAAGCACTGCCGCTCGTTGCGCGCGAAGCGGCACCGTCCATCGCCCCTCCACGGAGCCACAAATTTGGACGAGAGCCCCGAGCCGCCGCCGCTCGGCGGCCGAGACGAGGGCGGCGGGGGGGCGCGCGCAAGGCTCGGCGGCCGAAGCGCCGGTGGCGGCGTGCTGGGCCGAACATACGTGTCGTAACTAGTGTCGCCCTGCGCGCAGGACGACAGGTCCACGGAGCGGCGACGGTAGCAAAGGACCGGATCCGTCGACGTGACGACTACCGCCTCGCAGCCCGCCGTCGCGTCGCACCGCGCAAAGCAGTCCACCCTCGACGGAAGCGTACAACAAGAGCTACCGCTCGGCGTCTCGAGGTCCTCCGCGCCAGCGCCGGCGTAGCAATTTGTCGAGGCGTGCAGCGTCCACGTGGCGGGCGGCGGCGAGCCTCCCGGCGGCGCGGGAGACGCGGATCGCGGCGGCGGCGGCTGCTGTGGCGGTGGCAACTGTGGTGACAACGGCGACGGTGGCAACGGCGACGGCGACGGCGGCGACGGCGGCGGCGGTGGCGGCGGCGGAAGCGGGGGCGGGGGCGGCGGCGGAAGCGGGGGCGGGGGCGGCGCGGGCGGCGGTGCGGGCGGCGGCTGCGGCGGCGGCGCGGGAGGGTGGATGAGGTACGCGTAGAGGTCGAATGATGGGGGCGACTCCCCTCCCGCCGAACTCTGGCGGCTCCCGGTGCCAAGCCCGGTCACACAGAGGGACGCCAGCAGCGCGGCACCGACGCCCAGGACGAGCCTCCGCCACCACCGGCCCGGCACGTGGGCCTTTGCAGACGGGCCACCCTCCTGCAGCTGCCGCCTATACAGCACGAGGAGGTCGGGGAGGGTCAGGGAGAGGGGTACCAGGGGAGGATACGGGGGCTGAGCCGCGGCTGGCGCCAGCCCTTCCGGCGCCGCGGCGCAGCGGGCGCAGCCTACTCCACGGTCCGACTCTCACAGGCGCTTGTCGTTCACTCGCGAGACAGACACTTCGTCCGCCGCCGCGGCCGCGCGCGCCTCCGCCAGTTCAACGTCTGCACGCAGTTGGGTCTCGGTGTAAGCGAGCTCGTCTAACACCTCCACCATGCGCTATTTGTGAGTCACCAAAACGCTTTGTCCAGAAAACTCGCCGTTCACAGCCTTGTTATTGAGAAGAAAATACCTCCTCTGGCGCTGTGCGCTGGTCTGTGAGAGGTTGAGGTGCGAGCCCTGGAGGCCCTGGGGATGGGGTGAGACTACCCGCGGGCCTAGCCCTAGAAGGCCCGCGCGCAGGGGGGTGGGACATTGAGACCGGTCATGAATGGAGTGCGCGACACGCATGTTGCGAGCACCCGGCCCGAAATCGCAAGTGACCAGACAGCAACACGGGGTCGGGAGCTTGGAGGCGGGCTCGGCAAACATATGCGCCGCCTCGGGGGGCGACGGAGCACTGCCCCACGCCCCTCCTGGTCGGCCGGCGGAGCCCCCCCCCCCCCCACTCCCGCCCACGGTGTGCCGGCGGTTTTTGAGAGGCTAACGATATTACCCGGTCGACCAAATTTCTCGTCCAGATCACCCGGCAATGATATTTATTTTCCTGCTCAGCGCAATTGTTTACCCAGTCACCCACAATTCATGTTTTCAGCTTACCCGGCCGCTAACTTCATTACCCGGTCGACCAAATTTCTCGTCTAGGTTACCCGGCTCTAGGGGTAGTCTAGGCAGCCGTTGGTCCGTGTCCGGCCGTAAGCTGAAACGAGAAATTTGGTCCTCCAGGTAATCTGAAAGAGAATCTGGACGAGAAATTTGGCCGGGTTGTGCGCCGCGCGGCCCGCGCGGGACCCAGTGCTGCCTTCTGACGTGCCGTCGCTGCCTCTCCCATCTCGACTGTCTGTGAAAATAGGACGTATTTTCTTGTCAATAACAAGGCTGTGAAATCTCCCTCACGGGCTCTCCCAGTCTCCCTCCCTGCCTCCCCCCCTGCCTGCCTCCCTCTCGTTCGTTGGTTATTTTCGCTGCAGAGAAAAGACTGGGAGATCTCTCAGACTCCCCACACGAGGACCTGCGTGAGCAGGATCGCGTTTAGGCTCACGCCGAGGCCGAACTGGGCGAGGAGAAGCCTGTCGCCGCCGGCGAGCCGCAGCGTCGTGTAGAGACGCAGCGAGTTGCCCACGATGCCGAGGCTGGCAGTGATGCCGGACCAGCCGCCGGAGGACCTCGCAGCGAAGTTGCGGCAGATCTGCGGCAGCAGCGCTGTCGAGAGCAGCGCCGTGGCAGCGGGGACACACAGCTTGGCGAGGCGTAGCGGCGTGCAGCGCAGCGCGAGGGCGAGGGCGACGCAATAGGCGGCGGCGCCGGCGGCGACCGAGGGGGCGGCGACACCCGCGAAGAGCCGGATCATGCCTACGCATCTCGACCGATTCTCGTGGCTCTACCGACAGATTGCAACTTCAGTGTCCATATCGGCTGGCGCACAGTTGATGGCGAGGCTCTGCGCCATCAGGACGGCGTACTCGACGTACGAGGAGAGCGGAAAGCCGGACCGCGCAGGGTAGACAACAAAAAGGGCGTAGCCGAGCAGCTGAAGGCTCCACGTGAGCGGAGAGAGCCCAGCTGCGGAACGCGTTTCCACCAGACGCAGGATAATGGGTAGGAAGACGCCGAGCGCGCCGCACGTCATGCCCCAGCCGAGTACCCTGGCGAGCGGCGCCTTTGGCTCCCCGGCTGGAGCCGCCCCTCGGGCAGATTCCTGCCCACTGGCGCCAGACATCGCGAGCAGCGGCTCATGCCGTGCGAGCCGCAGCCGCGGCAGTGATGCACTGTGGATGCCGCTAGCCGGAAAGGCGTGTGCGGCCGACAAAAGCAGGACCAGCGTCGCGCACAGTCTCATCAGTTCACTCTTATTACACTAGCACGGCCCGTGTCGCGCCACCACTAATCTATGGAGTGCAGTCATCAACCGCACATCCAGGGCCGGGGAGCTCAGAAGCGCACCCAGCGGGCCGGATGATTGGCATCGGGTTACGGGCTAGAGAGCCCTAGCCCCGGGGGTGCGCGTTCGCAGGGCAAGGGCCTTAATGTAGAGCGCGATTTTGTTGTAGAGTTTGTTGTAGAGGCTCTACAGCCAAACCGCCGGGAAGGCAGTGACTCAAGGAGGTCGAGTCGCACTAATGGGGTGTCTCCGAGCTTACTGGAGCTCTGATGGACGGCCCTGACTATCCCTGACACACAGAGGTCACTCTGACGGCACACAACACCCTATAACTGCGTCATGACCAGCCTGCCATGCGTCGCCGGTGCCGCATTCGTCGCTGTGCTTCTTTAGCAGGCGGTGGACTGTCGGCTGCGAGGACGGTCGCATTTGCGCGAGGCGAGGCGAGCATTTAGACGCGTTGCATGCGCCATGACTCGCGCCAGCGCGTGCGGGAGCTCCTGGCTGAGCGTTGAGTCCAGGCGAGTTGCGCTGGCCACGATCGCTACGCCGAGCCGAGCTGACGCGCCGAGGCGCCGGCCAGTCGCAGCCGCGAGGCATGCCACAGCAGCAGAGGCACCTGCCACCCATTGGGCGGGCAGACAGAAGGCCAGGGCAGCACTGGCAAGTGCAACGCGCCTCATGTCGGAGAGCGACCGTGCCTCGTTCGCCGCTTATGATGTTTAGTTTGTTGTAGAGATTTCACGTTGTAGAGCGCCTCTACATCGCTCTACAACGGAGGCAGTTCGTCACGCGGTGGATGTAGAGCTCTACAGCTCTACATTGCTCTACAGCGCTCCAGAGCGCTCTACATCTCTACAGCTCTACAGCGCTCTACACTCTACATCCTCTACACCCTCCCTCAGGATTTAGGCTGTACGAACTCCCACAAGTAAGGTAAGGTAAGGTAAATTTCTCCACACACACAAAGTGGTGGGGCAAGGGGGGGCGACCCTCGCATCTCCACACCCGCCCGGACAGGGGCAGGAGGCCAGGAGCCCCACGGCATTCAAAGACAAAGTGCATCCAAGCACTGGCCCGGTGCACGTGGGTCAGCAGCCTGCCCCTCCCTCCCGACAAACCAACTCCCGCACACACACAATCGCACTCTGGCCATCGAATGACTCCGAATGACTTCACGGTGTGTGCTAAGACACTATAGACACTAGTTTATCTCGGCTTCTCCACATGACCCAAGCATCTGCACCGTGAGGTGTGATACATTGGCGCGTAAAGGGTCAGTCTGGAGTCGCGTGCCTCCACAACGGAAGAGCTACGCAGTACCTGACATCCCCTGGGGTCTTGCCACTAAAGGCGGAGGGTTGGGACTCAAACAGCTTGGACGAACTGCAGGTCCGGAGGTAACCTCAAACGTCCTGCAGCCGGCCGCGGCGCCGTAAGGGATCGCACCTCAGACCAAGTAGAGAGAGAGGTGGAGCTCACCACACGTGGAGCACCTACCGCCGCGTAAACGACGCGGGAGTCTCCCCCGCATAAGAGGGGGGGAGAGGTAAGAAGGGCCGACGACAGGACCCATTACGCGAGCAGAGGCTCGAGCTGACATCGCCGTGAGAGCCACGGTGAATCCCATGCTAGCGTGAGAGCTTAGCATGCCACCAAGGAGAGGGTGGGTGGGAACCAAAGAGAGATGGCGCAGCCGGAGGGCTGGCGCCGTCAGAGAGGATGGAGCGGCCACAGAGGTGGCGCGGCATCAAGGTCCCATGAGCAGGGAGAGAGCGCAGCGAGAGCGCCGCGCATGAGGAGCGAGGGCCAAGCGCGCTCGCGAAAGTAGGCGGCGAAAGCGCGCACCAGCTGAAGTGCAAGTTTGGTGTTCACAGCAGCGGAGGCTGAGTGAAGACCGCATGCGATGTGCGCGAGGGCAACACGAGAGGGACTCAGGAGAGGTATCCGTGAGTATCCTACGATAAACTAGTGGCCTACCACGAGTTGGGGCCCCCACCCCAATCGTTATCGGCGGAGAATCTCCGCAGAGCCGACAGCCAAAACGGGCCGTGCCGCGTTGTTGGTGCCTTCTGTTAGACCTAAAGGTCGGCGCTTCGACCAACTAGGCCACCTTTTGCGCAAACACACCACGTTACAGGAGAAACACCACGAGATATGTACCGGGACACGCTGTGGTTCGGACGATACACACCGTCAGTCAACAATACCACCTCAGACTCCCACTCCCACGCCCTCCGGCGAGGCTCGCACGGTGCTCGCCGTCTTGCCTCTGCGCGGCGCGTCCTTGCCGCCGCCGCCCCACGAGCGCGCCGTCTGGCACTTCGCCCACAGGAAGGCGATGGCCTCGGCCTCGTCGCGGCAGATCTTGGTTGGCTGCGGCGGCTTGAGCACAGAGAGCACAAAGTTGGCCAGCTTGGTCAGCACCCAGGAGTTGAGTATGACGGTGATGCCCTGGATGTACTCGTCGAGCAGCTCCTTGTGCTCGCCCGCCCATTTGAGCCCCTCGCGCACGTGCTTCATGCTCGGCGTGGGCACGTTGCGCACGTCGTACGTGACCGTCACCGGCACCCTCCTCTCCATGATCTCCTCCATCGCTGCGAGCGCGTCGCGGAGGCTCTCGTCGCTGAAGCCAACCTTGCGACCGTCGACCCGGATCCGCTGCGGGAGGGGAGGGGCGGGGAGGCTGAGGCGGGGGCGGGGGAGTGGGCGGGCCGCTCTGGAGGCGGCGATTGGCCCTGTCGCTGGTGGCGCTCTAGCCGCAGCAGGTGTCCTCAATTTGGTCGGGAGTGCTCACCTGCAGATTGAGCCCTTCGCGTTCCTCGAGGGACACGTAGCAAAAGCCAAAGTTGGCCGGGCCGTACGCAAAGGAGAATCCCTCGTCGCAGCTCGGCTCGCCCTGCGCCGCCTTGCGCTCCTTGCCCCGCGGTGACGCGGCGGGCGGCCGGCCGTTGCGCGGCGATTCGTGCTTCGCCGTGCCGCCCTCGGCGACACCCTCGCCGGTGCCGTCGCCACTGTCCACGCCGCCCTCGGCGCCGCCCTGCTCGCCATCGGCGGGGAGGACTTGGCCAGGCACGTTGGCGGTGTCCTCAATATGAATAGGCGCAGCGGCATCGGGCTCCGTGCTACCCACAGCGGCTGCGCTAACGCTGCGCGGCTGAGACTCGGCAGACTCCCGGCGGCGGCGGGCCCACTCGGCCGCTGCCTGTCTGGTGCCTTCCGGCGGTGCCATCAGAGGCCTCGCCGCCGACGGCTGAATCGACGGTGTAGCGGCAGGCGCAGGCGCAGGCGCAGGCTCGGGCGTCGGCGGCTCATCCTGCTCGCACTGCGCCTCGCCGCGCGAGGCCGCCTTGCGCCGTTTCTTGACGAGGAGCCCCATGACGCAGAGGTGGCAGGAGGAGCGGGCGGCGGGCTCGGCTTCTAAGACGGACCGCCTTTCCTAGCTCGGGGAACGTGGCAAAAGAAAATGTATTATCCTAACGGTGTGGGGGCGCGGAGGGCTTGTTGGCGAGCCAAAATGGTGTTTTCCGAGGCGCTGCGCTAGGCTCAGAGCGAGTTCGCGCTGCGCTAGGCTCAGACGGCGAGTTCGCGCTGCGCTAGGCTCACAGATGCGAGTGCGCTGCGATAGAAGAAAAAAACAGGGTCGAAACGACAACCGAAGGGAGGACTGTGTAGTGTAATCATGTGTCAAGAATCACGTGCTGCTGCTGCTGCTGCTACTGCTGCTGCTACGCGGCGAGCGCCGTCGCCGAGGCGGGCCTCGGCGGAGAGCGCGATTATGCGGCCTTTTCCGCGACCCGCACAAAGAAGAGGCGCCCTCCGTCAGCCTCGACCTGCCACCGGCTCGCGTCGACCGACCCGGCCGCGTGCCACACCTCCACAGCCCAGTGCGCCAGCCCGCAGAAGTTGCCCTCCTCGATGCCCGATCCCGTGGGCCACGCGGCCAAGGCGGTGCCGAGAGGCGGCGGCGGCGCCGCGGTCGCCTCGAGACGCGCCGCGACGGCGTCAAAGGCGATCCGCCTCGCGCCCGTCGCGGCCGCCTCGGCCAGCAGCGCCTCCCCGGCCAGCCGCGGGAGGTCGCCCTCCGTCTCGAACCAGCACGACGAGCGGCCGTCGGCGCACGCCTCGTCCCACGCCTTGAGCTGGCGGACAAAGGCCGCCAAGCTCTTGAGGCCGGGCGAGGGCGCGGCGGGCGACGGGGCAAGGGAGCAGCCGGGCGAGGAGAGGTAGGAGGTGCTCGCCGGCGAGCGCTCCCGCGCCTGCGAAGGGGCAAGGCCTGAGGGCGGGCGGGCGGTCGGGCGGGCGGGCGCGGGTGGGGGGGATAAACGCTGCGCCGCCAAAGGAACCAGCGACACTGGCCGCGGCTCGTCGCCACGCGCCGGCTCGGAAGAGGGGCTGTCGGCGGCGAAGCAGAGTGGCACGCCTCGCCGCTCGAGCCGCCGACAGCCCCCCTCCTCGACGTGACGGCCGCTCCCGGAGCCGGCCGGTGCGCGCCTGACCCACGCCCCCTCTCGCACCCCTCCGACCCCCCCTGCGCGGCGCACCCGTCCGCTGTGCGCCGGCTCGAGCGCCTATTGCCAAATCGCGACGTTTGAGCGCAGCGCACGCATCCTCTGGGCGCCTGAGCGCGGCGGAATCTTGCCAGAATGTGGCCGCAGGAAGAGCCTCCGGCGGGCCTCCGGCGGACGCCTGGCGGCGTGGCGCTGCGCGCCGGCCTGCGGCCCAAAGCCCGAACGAGCGGTCAAGTTAACTTGACGCGCCGAATCCCTTGGTTGGCCCTCGCAGCTGTGATACAAAAGTGGGGACGCGCCTGGCGGCGCGCCCCCAAAAAACCTCTCGGGCTTTGCAACGCCAAGCGGCGAGGACACGCGCAGGGGCCGCACCTCTAGCGAAGCCCACGGAGTGGGAGACTCCTATCACCGCCCTGCCACCCACGTGAGCCTTTTGGCCGCCTCTGTCAGTGTGCCCGTGGTAGTGAGAGACTGCTGGTGAGAAGCCGGAGGAAGGCCGCTAGTCGAGAGAGATCGCCAGTGGAATAGGGAGTCCACCGTGCTGCGAGCCTGTCGCTGTCCCTTGTCAGGAGCAGGAGAACTAGGAGAGCGCAACCAGTAGGAGGCCCGCGCCTGCCCCCGTGCCGCCGGGTGCAACCTGTCCTATACGAGAGAGGAATCCCTGGGACCCTGTCGTGTGGGTGAACCCTGCCCAGCCCCCCTCCGTGTCGCGATGCGCTCCCCGCTCCCGTTCCCCTGTGTCCCTGATCGTCCTTACAAGATCCTGCTCGTGCAGGTGGGGACCCTGTCCTTCTCCCACCCCTCGTTTGGCGTGCCCGTTTTATTTATTTATTTATTTAATGCCAAACATGCCTAGGAAGCCGCCGGATGTAAGTGGGGCGGGTTTGCTGCTGCGGGGTCCCCCGCTGTCGCCCGGGGTCGTGCGAGGGGTGGGCACGACCAGTAGGGACCCCCTCCCCCGGGCCCCGCTCTCAGTTGGGGCCTCCGCGGCCGAGTGGGAGATATTTATTGGATGGGAAACGGGTCGATTTGCAAGGTGGGGCGCCGGGCCAGGCCGGGCCCGGCTCGGGCCCCTGCCGGGCCCGCCCGGCCCGCGCGCCCTGCCGGGCCCGGCTTGCCCTTCCCGGGCCCGGCCCGCGCGCTTTGCCGGGCCCGGCTTGCCACTCCCGGGCCGAAGCGCCCAAATCAGCAGGCCGAGGAGCGAGGCGGGCCCGGCGAGGAGAAACCCGGCCCGGCAAACCGTCCTGCCCGGGCCCGTCTGCGGCACATCCGACCGGCCCGCTCACTCACAGCCGGGCCCGGGCAGGAGGGTTTGCCGGGCCCGTTTTGCGCGAGGCGGGCCCGGCGAGGAGAAAACCGGCCCGGCAAAAGCACGCTCGGCGGCCCGGGAGCGGACACTTTTGACCCGGCCGGGGCCCGCCGGCCCGGAACCGGCCCGGAACCGGCCCCGCCCCACTTACGTCCGGGGCCCCAGTTATATCCTTCCTAGTTATTCATCTAGAGGCCGTCGTCACATTCGCCTTCCTGTGTGACTCACGTTCCGACCAGCTGTCCGTTTCTCCTGTGCGTGATCATTTAGGCTGCATACATGTTTCCTCGCTCACCCCGTCTCGTTTTTTCGATGTTTCTCTACAGCACCCTCTCGTTTCCTCTCTAGTTTCCCGAGGAAACTCCGTGGAAATCAGCTGGTTACTACCATGCGGACTGGGTGACGTCCTTAAAATACCACACCTACCTCTACTAGGGCGGCGGGAAGGGGGTCGTCGGTCGACGGAGAGGAACATTTTGCAAAACAGCACACAGCGACAGATACCTCGACACGACACTAGCCACGACACCAAATTACAGAGCTCTGTAACCGTGACTGGTAATTTCATTGATCAACATTTTCTTAGAGAGGAGGGCTTCCATCATTTCCTCACATTCCCTGTAGAAATAGCAAATCGAAGACGTCTGCAGCTGACGTCGTGATTGTATCTCGCAGTTGAATTCGTCCGTGCACTTGGCCCAAGTCTCGGTCGTGGGGCAAACCGGGTGGAGAGCGTCCAAGTACGAAGCGGGGCCCGTGCAGGCGCCATTCAGCCACAGGGCGCACGCGAGGTCGCCCGTCTGCCACTCGTAAGAGTTGCAGGCAGCGTCGAAGCTGCACTGCCGCTGGCAAGCACCGCGAGATTTGGCGCTGGGCACATGTCGGTAGTCGACATGCTCAGTGTGGTTGGCGAAAAAGCATGCGGCGGTGGTCTTGCCATCACACTTTAGGAGGCGGCGGTAGTCGGGCACGGGAGAGGGCTTGGGCGCAAAGGCGAGGCCGCTTGACGTCGTGGACGGTTTCGGCCTGCGCACGCGGTGTGTGCGTGTAGGCTCAGCCTGCCGGTGTGAGTATGCGTGGCGGGGTGGAGCGACGCACCGGCAGGGCAGACGCCGAGAGCGCGACGAGCAGAAGCGAGGCAATCTTCATCATGGATGATGTTTGGTCCGACGGTCCTCGGGCAATCGTTTCCAACCAAAAATCGGCGGTGGTTATTGTTGAAAAAGGGCGCGCCAGGTTCAGCGCAAGCAACTAAGCAGAATGCGGTGAGGAAGGCCACCGGGAGCAGCATGCGGTGAGGAAGGCCAAGGAGCAGCTCGCTAAGAAGGACTCGAAAGCGGTGAAAAAGCGGGACAACCAGATTGCTCAGGCCGCGAAGCGGGAGGAACGACGCCTCCAGAAGGCCGCAAAGAGAGGATTGGCCGCCGCCCCGGACGAGGGCCTGCACTCCGCGGACAAGAAGCGGCGGCGCTTGCTGGAGACGGGTGTGGTGGGCCCCAGATCAGCCAAATCGGCAAAATACCGGGGTATTTTGCCGGTTTCCTCGGTTTCGCCTCAGATTTTGCCCCAGACCAGCTCTCAGACTCACTCAGGGAAACTCGAGAGTTGCCAGAATGGAGCTCCAAACACCCTCTCGTGGTTTCCCTGGAAATTTCCGGAAACGAAAAGTGCTGACGTGTATGCAGGCCAAGTGATCATGGATCCCAGGGTCGTGCCTTTGGACGGTGAAGGCGCCGGAGACGGTGAAGGCGCCGGAGGGCACGTGCCCGTACCATCGGCGTAGACACCCTTGACTTCCACGGGAGCTTTGCAGCTTATGCAATCGTCCGAACCGTTCGGAAACCGTGGGTACCGATACCCACACTCCGCACACGAAGAGTGGCAGGCGCAGCCATACGATTCGGGGTACGGCTGGCCTACTTTGGCGTGACAGGTGGTGTCTCCTGGGACAGCCCTCGGCGTGACATCCGGAAAGACAATTAGCTCCGGCGAAGGGCTCGGTGGCGGCGGGCTCGGTGGCGGCGGCGGAGGCGGAGGCGACGGCGACGCTAGTAGCGGAGATGGAGGCGGCGGCATCGACAGTGGCAGCGGCGATGGCGGCGGCGGTGGCGGCGGCGGTGGCGGCGGCGGCGGCAATGGCGGCGGCGGCGGCGGTGGGGATGGCGGCGGCGGTGGAGGAGGAGGAGGTGATGGTGGTGGCGGCGACGGGCAGTCCACGACCATGTCTCCAACTGCCTTGCACCGGCCTTCCCAGCCGCAGCGCTGCATGACGCCGGCCGGCTCGCGGACCACCTTACTTCGGGTCCGTTTTGTGGACAAACCTCGCCACCTCGACCACCTCGACCCCCTCCCCTCCCTCTCCCTCCCTTTCCCTCCTTCTCCCTCTCCCTCCCTCCCTCCCACCCTGGGTGTCCCCCCCCCCACACACACACAAAGAAAGAAAGAAAACGGACAATAGAAGGGAGGGATGGGAGGACGGCACGCCGCCACCACAAGGATTTTAACACACACACACATAACACACACACACACACCTCCCCTCCCCCGCCTACCCCGCCCTTTCGCTTTCCCTCTCGGCTCTAGCCGCGGCGTCTTTCTCTCCGTCGCTTACGGAGAGAGAGATTTTTAAAGACTCTCTTCGCTTACGTGCGACTCGTCTCTCAAACATTTCATTGGGGGTCAACGCTCGCCGTCCAATCAAAGTGCCCGCCGCGACAGCGAGGAACATGTCTTTGTAACGTCTACGGCGCCCAACCTGCCACACCTCGCCTAAACTGCCCGCCACAGTTTGCCCAGGATCTTTGCGGCGCTTGCAGCCCCGAAAATTGGCGGCTCCTACCGCACATGGTCGAGGTGCCGGTGACGCGACGCGGTCCCGGCGGCCGCCTCATCAGCTCAGATCGCCCCGCGCCCCTCCCATCGCCGCAGGACGCTCTTTCTCTCCCTGGCGTCAGCTCCAAGGCGCCGTCGACCGCAAGCCACGAGGCCTTTGCCGCGGAGGCTGCCATGACTGCTCAGCAGGACGCGGCGGGCGGCTCCACTCCCTCGGAAGTGAGCGCCCCGCCCGAGCCCTCCGCCGCGGCAACCTCGGCCGCCGAGGAGGGCGCGAGCCTGGGGGTCCGGCCGGCGGTGGAGCCTGCCAAAAAGCGGCCTAGGCTGGGAGAGGACCCCTCTGGCCCCTCGACCGCCACGTCTGCGGAGGACGCGGAGTCGGCCGCGGCGGTCGCGGCCGGCCCCACAGCGGAGGAGGAGGCCATGGCCGCCGCCGCCTCCCTCATGATGCACTCTTGCGGGCAATCGGAGCCACCAACGTCGCGATCCGGGAGCGGTGGCGCAGCAGCAGCAGGGTCGCCTGCGCCGCGGCTCGACCCGGCGATGGAGGCGGCGGCGCCCCGCGACCGCGACCACAAGAGATCCCTCTCCCCGCCATTCAATACCCACGGAAGCAGCACGCCAACCTTTTGGCTGCCTCACCACTAACTGACCGTTCCCCCCAGTGCTACCAGTCTTGCTGTTGGTCACCTTGTTGCAATTTTTCACCTCCCGTCTGCTGTCGGCGCCAGGCCGCGATCAACGCAGCGAGAGAGATGTCGGAGCTGGAGGAGGCCGGTGCGATGCCCCCCCC